TATATAATTTTGGTATACCAATCATAAATATGGTATCCCAATCATTTATTAAGATGATGAAAACAGCAGAAGGGAAGAGTAATTGAAGGCAAGCAGGATGCAAGCCATGTAGAGCTTTATTGGGATAACTAACTCCGCGGCTAAATTGGCATACTAAGATTTTAAGCCTCATTGACTGGCTCTCTAGGTGGCCTCCCTTGGAGGAGAGTTCTGTAAATATGAGGTTACCTCCAGGGGGACATTAGTGTTTATTGTTCTCGACCTCTCTTGGATAAGTATATAATTTTGGTATACCAATCATAAATATGGTATCCCAATCATTTATTAAGATGATGAAAACAGCAGAAGGGAAGAGTAATTGAAGGCAAGCAGGATGCAAGCCATGTAGAGCTTTATTGGGATAACTAACTCCGCGGCTAAATTGGCATACTAAGATTTTAAGCCTCATTGACTGACAGGCAACCCATTTTCAATTTGACCATTATGGCTGGAGTGGGGTTAAAGTAATCTGGAAATAAAGACAATAATAAGGCCATATGTGCCCTCATGCTATATGTGATCAAGGATAAATGTTATTCTAAGTACCTAGTCAAGTGTGTCCTCCATTTAACCTTCAACAATCTGTGCTGAAATATATGCAAACACATTTGCAACATTTATATTGTACCATTTGAGAAATATGATATAAACATATAGGTTAATTATGATATATGTACACTTTCCAAAATATGAGTTACCACTGTGCTGTAACACAGATAAATTGAAGAGCTAGTGTTCCTTGTATTATGAGCACATGCTCTTCAACTGTAGGGATCGGAATCTATCAAAAGGCACATGTTTAAGACCAAATAATTTTTTTTGAATGGATTCTTTACTGAACTTCTGAAGTTAAAAACTTGAAGAATGCTTGGCACTAGACAGCCATTCAGAGAAATTTTGAAGATCTCCTTTTCACTTGCATAAGAAAGTCTGGTTGCCTTTGTACTCATAAAAAATAAGGCAGCCATATTAGCCATAAAACCAGTTCCAAATTTTATACTTGGCTGGTACTTCATTAGGACAACCAAAAAGGACCAACAAAGTGTGCACATGTTCAAGATCTTCCACAGGCAAGATGTTGCAAAAGTAAACGGTATGGAGAGGAAGGTGGGATGTACCATATTTTTCGCTCTATAAGACGCTGGTATGGAGAGGAAGGTGGGATGTACCAAAAGTGGGGGAGAAGTGCATGCGTCTTATGGAGCGAATACAAGATTACCGTATTTTTCGTTCTATAAGATGCACTTCCCCCCAAAAAAGTGGGGGGGAAGTGTTTGCATCTTATGGGGTGAATACAGCGCTCCCTTTCCCAGGGCCCAGCGGGGGTGGGGGGAGCCTTGGAAGGGTCTGAGAGTGCCTTCCCGGACCCTTCAAAGGCTCCCCCCCCCCCGGTTGGGCCAGCAGGGGTGAAATCGCAGCTTCCAGGACCCTTCTGAGGCTTGGAAAGCTTCAGAAGGGTTTTGGAAGCTGGCGATTTCGGCAACCTCAGAAGGGTCCTGGAAGCTGGCGATTTCGCACCCACTGGCCCCACTGGCCCCGTGGGGGGGCGGCGGGGGAGCCTCCAAAGGGTCCTGGAAGGCACTTTAGGACCCTTCCGAGGCTCCACCCACCCACTCCTGCAGGCCGAAATTGCCAGAATATTTTTCCTGTTTTCCTCCCCTAAAAATGAGCTGCGTCTTATGGAGTGGTGCGCCTTATGGAGCGGAAAAATACGATATTCATGTAATGTGCGTAGAAACAGGTGAAGGAGAGGGGCTAGGTCGACAATCAAATGGGGCTCAGTAGGGGATGCTATAGTATTAGATTTCAGCCAGAGTAACTGAAGGGTTTGAGGGTGTTGGAAAATTAGAAAGGTTTGATCTACTTTCTTAAACAATACAAGGCCCACTATATTATTCCACCCTTTGAGTGGTTAAAAATGGCAAAAATTGACAACTATATATAAGAGGCAATTTTTTAAAAAAAGAGGGAGAGAATTCATATAAGAGGAGCTGATAGTCTTGCTGAATTAAATAAAAGACATAATCTGTTGTATTTGTGTTTAGAATTTTGTTCTTGCTTATTGTGACAACTTTTAAAACTTCTTAGCAATACTTTTTTACCTATTCTTTTGTGAGCTCACAGAATAAGGTTTTCAAATGTCCTCCCATCAGGTGTAGATTCAGATCTGCTTGACATAGCACATGGCACTACATCAAACTCATTTGGAGTTTTCACGGGAAAGCAGACGACCATAGTTCTTATTTTTAAAAATTAGTATATTGTGTTTTTAATTAATGCTTAGACTTTGAATGGTTTGGAGCTGCAGGGTACACTAGAACACTTGAGCATGATTATCAGTTTTGGAAAAAAACATACTGGCATGCCCTACGAGCCATATAAATTATTTGACTTCACATTTAGATGAGTTGAGTGAGAAATTGTAGACTCATTGGATTTGGATGAAGCAGTAGTGGAAGATGAACTAAATGAGGCTTCTGGCTATCTTTTTGCTCCTCGGTGTTATGAGAAGAATAGCACTGTGTGTTTGTCCTGGGGAGTGAGCTTGCAGGGGCGAGGAGCTTGACCTACTTCTGTTCCTAAGCTTTGTTTCATGCACCATAGTGACATCATAATATATAGAATAGGCAGATTCCACCACTTGATGTCCTAGAGATTGTTTTGAACTTCATCCTCCATAACCCTAGAGGTCATCAGTTTGGGGAATATTGGAATGGGGTATCTATCATCAGTGATAGTTAAATATTGTTATTGGTCTTGCATGGGATTTAAAGTAGTCCCAGTTATGAAGTACTTATATAAAACATGATTATTGTGTTTTTGGATGGTTAGAAGCATTCAGGTTCTATACATTATACTGTGCTATGGAAGAATCTTCAAACACTGACATACTTTATAAAACCCACCACTGCATAGTAACTGCAGAATAATATGATGCCTAAAGTACTCTTTTAAGAAGTCTTTGTCATTGCTAAGTGTACTTAATTGTGGTATCCAAATTGTTATTCTTTACTTTTGGATGACAAACAATTTTAGAAATTCAGAAGGCTATGGAAGTCAGCCTTCAGACTATCTGAAAGCATTGGTCTCTCGAAAAGCATGCTGGATTGGCTCATGTAATATTTTACTATGAAGCAATTGCTGTGCATTCATTAACCAATGCTGGCCTGAATCCTGTTACTTATGCCTCCTGACCTAAATGTATCATCATAACACTTAGTGACAAGTGCCTTAAGAAGCAAAGTCATGGGACTTGATGCACAACAATAAATGCCTACACCAATTTATTACCTTGTCAGCATTTTCCAGTGGACTTAGGCTGGTGTCATTTTTCAGTTGGATTCCATTAAGATGTTCCAGGTGCTTCTGTTTAAACTGCAAAAACTTTGTGTTTACGTGGAGATAGATTAACATGGACCTAATATGGTTTTGTCTGAAAGTACCCTCAAAATGTCAACCAGTGTAACTGTTGTGAGCACATGTTTGCATGGAGAAGAACTCTCAAAAACTTCGAAATTTAATTGCTTGTTTTAGTAATAATAATATATGGGGGGAGGGGGAGTCTGTTTCCTTTCATGTTTTATCCCAAATGTGGAGAATTTGAATATCTTCAAGTGGTGAAATGTTTTCTGATGGTCTACAGAAGTGCTGGAGTTCAAAGTGTTTCAGTGTGCTGAATATTTTAATTTATGCTTGGTACTGTACATTAATAATTGTGCTGGCCGGATAGCTCAGTGGTTTTGGCACCTAGCTGTGGAGCTAGAGGTTCCCAGTTGGAAGCCCCACGGTGCCTCCTGGGAGAAGAGCCAAGCTGTGGAGCTGTGAACAAGCTGATCAGTTGCCCTCGGAAGAAAAGAAGAGTAGCCCACTTCTAAGTGTTCTCTATCTAGAAAACCCTGGAAAGAATTGGCATAAGTCAGAATCAACTTGACAGCACACAATGATTATTGTACATTAATAATTGTGCTGGCCGGATAGCTCAGTGGTTTTGGCACCTAGCTGTGGAGCTAGAGGTTGGGAGTTGGAAGCCCCACGGTGCCTCCTGGGAGAAGAGCCAAGCTGTGGAGCTGTGAACAAGCTGATCAGTTGCCCTCGGAAGAAAAGAAGAGTAGCCCACTTCTAAGTGTTCTCTATCTAGAAAACCCTGGAAAGAATTGGCATAAGTCAGAATCAACTTGACAGCACACAATGATTATTCGGTTGGAAGCCCCACGGTGTCTCCTGGGAGAAGAGCCAAGCTGTGTAGCTGTGAACAAGCTGATCAGTTGCCCTCAGAAGAAAAGAAGAGTAGCCCACTTCTGAGTGTTCTCTATCTAGAAAACCCTGGAAAGAATTGGCCTAAGTCAGAATCAACTTGACAGCACACAATGATTATTCTGTTAAGTGGTAGAAGAGAGTATTTTATTGCAAGAGAATTGCTAATAATTTCTGAAGTAGAGTTGAAAACAGGAATAGCAGTGTAAATCAGCGTGGATAAAAGTCAATAATTTCTTAAAATCTGATTTTTAAAATTTAAATCAATTTGATTTAAATCAAATGCAGCCTAGCATTGCCTTTTTTTTGATAAGCACTTGAACATATTGGCCGAAATTCTATTACATACCGTATTTTTCGCTCCATAAGACGCACCTTTCCATAAGACGCACCAATTTTTTAGGAGAAGAAAACAGGAAAATATAATCTGTTTTCTTCGCTCCATAAGACACACAGACTTTCCACCCCCCTGTTTTGTGGGGGAAAAGTGTGTCTTATGGTGCGAAAAATACGGTAGTTATGCCTGTGGAAGGAAAAAAGCAGAACTTGCAGGGGTTTCTCACTGCTAATTAACAAGTCTCTGTTGGATTTTGGTGCATGTTCTAGTCTGATAGGTTGACGTGTAGTTGAAGCTGTGCAATGGGAACTTGGCTACTGTACCATCTATGTGTTTTGAGATATTCTCTGTTTAATTTTGTTTGTTAAAGGTGGCTTTCTAGAAGATGACCATAGAGGATCTGCCTGACCCTTCTGTAGAAGGAGATTCACTGACTAGAATATACCAATATTTTATCCCTGGCTCTGAAGATCCTGTTACCTATTCAGTTTCTGCTGCACCAATGCCTTCTGAATGTGGTAAGGATATCTTTAAAAGGAAAAATACAGAAGGATAATGTTCAGTTGGGAAAATTCATAGACTTCAGTGGCAGGTTCTTTGTATGGAACAGTTTACATGTGAAATACTGTGCGTGTCTGCTTCTGTTTTCATTGAATAACTACTACTCAGGATTCCAGCCTTGAGAAATGAAGATATGAAAGCAACACAAGACTTATGAACTTCACTGCAAGTTTGGGCTATGACAGTTAGGCATGTTCATTCATGTTTTTGTATTGTTTTGTTTTCAGAATCTAAATCTCAGGATTCTCCATTCAGGAATTTCCAGCTGCTAGGCAGACACCTAAATTGCACTTACCTAGATGAAGGCTGGGCTGGAAGGCCTCATGGTCCAAGCTAGCTTAACCTTGGGCCTAGAGCTTGCTGGGAACTCCCAGCAACCACCAAGGCAGCTTTCTTTTTTAACAAGCAGCTAAGCCGCAGTTTGTCTTATACTGTAGTGAGTCATGAGGCCTTCCAGCCCAGCCCTCATCTAGGTGATCACAATTTTGATATCTGCCTGGCAGCTGGAACTCCCAGAAAGGAGAATTCTAGGATTTGAAGTAAAAACAAACAAAAGCAACCACCCAAAATCCAAATGTACATGCCTACAGACAAGCTGCAAGCACCTTTTTGTCTATAGTACCGTATTTTTTGTTCCATAAGACACAGCTGACCTTAAGATGCACCTAATTTTTAGAGGAGGAAAACAGGGAAAATATATTCTGAACCAAATAGTGTAATAAAACATTTAATAAACTATAACAGAATAACATTTGAACCATGTAAAGTGAACAGCAGTCAACAGTGGCATTAAGAACCATTACCACATGTCATTAACAAATGGAGAGACTTAAAGCTTTGTGTACTCTAGTTTATGTACCATAAATTTGTGTACCATAAATTTAATTCATGTACATATAGACCATTGTCAGCCAGTGATAAGACCTATACCACTCTACCTATATTTTACATTTCCTTTCATCCACCTCCTCCCCATGCTTATAGAAATGTCTCAATGACAGATGAGATTGTTGTGCAACTCTGCCCAGCTACAGCTCAAGCCTATATTAAGTTAGAAATGGTTTGTCTGATTTGGCACTGCATTGAGAGGTCCCTTTTAGTTGTGTGGAGGATAAATAGTGGAATTAAACTATTTAACAGCTGGTTTTCCTTATTTACTTTAGGTTATGCAAAAGAACAGCAACACAAAGCTTAACCTGATCCCATTCACTAGGAGTAGCACATGCTCAGCATGAGACCAAATCTCCATTTTCTGACATCATTGAACGCAAGGCACAACAGGTTAGGCCACACAAAGCCAAAAAAACTGAATACAAACTATAGTAGCTGAAATCAGGAAGCAGGTACTGCAATCCAGTTAGAAGTCACGAGGCACAGTTAGTTTCCTTGCTGCAACACCCTTAGGAAATACTGTACATTCTCTATTAGATGCCCAGAACTAGTTGAAAAGTTTGTAAGTCGAATCCAAATTTCCCATAGGAAATGTCTTTTGAAACTTTCTGATATTAAGACTGGTTTTTACCTTTTTACTTTTTTAAAAATAAACAGAATATTCTCCATGTTAAAGCCAGGTCACTGACTTAGGCACTAAATCCATCCTTACTCCTTGGTTGGTGGAGCATTTTAGGTATTAAATGGGCCCAGCAGCAATACTACCTTGCAGAGTTGGTGTGTCTGGAAAGTGTACAACTTTGTAAATTTTTAGTTTCTCTAGATATAGCTGAGTCATATCCAATCTGGTTGCTGGAAGGTGCTACAGATTACCCTTCCAGGGTCTTGCACATCCACAAGGAGAAAAAGATGACACAATAGGTGGAGAGAAAAAAAACCTGACAATGACAGGAGGGCCCACATGTTCCTCTCCTGTGGGTGTCATAGCATATATTTTGAACCAATGATGTGACAAATGATCAGGAGGGCAAATATGACTTGATAGGAATAACTGAAACTTGGTTGAGTTCCATGACTGGAACACAGCAATTGAAAGATATAAATGGTTATGGCAGTGGGCTTCTGGGTGGTGGTGGTTCAACCCTTTTGTACTGTATTCGTTCCATAAGATGCACATACTTTCTCCCCCACTATTTAGGGGGAAAAATTGTGTCTTATGGAGTGAAAAATATGGTATATGGTAGTCAAACTAGACATTAAGGGAAATGCATATTTACTTGCCATGCTACAGTGGCATGCCAATCCTAGGTATGTTAATTCAGAAATAACTTTTGCTGAATTAATTGGGACTTAACTCCCAAGTGAATGCTTCTACCACTGATACCTAGTGCAAATCTTCTTGATACCTAGTGCAAAACCAACTTGCTGGTTTATGAATGCTTTGGAATAAAAGGCAGTGAGCTGATTGACTGGACTGACAGAGTGGGGCAACATGTTTACATTCAGTACATAAATAACTTGTTTGGTGGCTTTGTTTGGATCTTCCGATTAAAACTGATGGCACGGGTTGTGAGAAGCTAGTTTGACACACTCAAACTGATGTTCTTGACATGGTCAAAAACAGCAAGCAGAATACTGGTTAAGCCAAAGACTGTGCTGGTATACACATTGAACAGGTGTATATAGCATGTTACTAAGGACATTTTGAGTCTAAAAATTTCAGTAATAAATTAGCTATGGTCCCAGAGATAAGTGAAACATCTCAGGATGACTCAACGTTTTCCTGTAGAAAACTAATGAGGGTACTCCGAGGGGATTTGTTCCAGATCTATTAATCACGTCAGATTGTGTGTACTGTCTTTGCTCCATAATTCAGTTCTTTTACTTTCAACCCAGTGCTTGTCATGCTTTCTGCTTCAGTGTTCTGTGTTCAGTTAAACATTTGAAGAAGCTTCCAGTGCAAGGCTGTGCTGGTGTTTGCTGCACTTGAACGGATTGTGAAAGAGATTTCTTAATTATGAGCATTTTAATGGTGCTGTGCCTATGATGATAGTGCAAAAAATTGCAACTGGCTTGTGTCAGCCAGGTCCATACTTCGAAATCCACTTCGGCGTGCATGTTTTTTTCAGTGAAGATGTAGAGAGAGTTCCCATATAAAATAATTTGATCTCAGAATTGATCTGAGTTAAGTATGTGTTGTGTAGATGCCAGTTTTTTGAACGAAAGGAAACCCTCCTCATCAAACACACTGGACCTGCAACATATGAAACATACCAGCTGCAGGCAAAGATGTTGAGTATAAAAAGACCAACTACTTGCTGCCTTCTTTAAGTGAATCAGTATTGTGATTCTTTCTTTATTTTGATATGAAAAAGAAGGAATCACAAGGTCAGTACACTTAAAGAAGAATGGAAGTAGATAGTCTTCTTTAAGTCTTTGTGGGATTTAATAACTTCTTGAGAAGAAAATACAGTATGAGACAGCTTTGCAGCCTGTATATCCTGCAAGAAAGCAGATGTTAGGAGTTGAACACCTGCCTGTTACCAGATGATACACATTTTTCAACTGCCAGAGGAGGAATTATCTTGAAATCAGAGTAAAATATAATGCCCAGATTTCAAAGGAACCATTCTAATGTCATATGCAAGATGCATTGCCCCATGAAAGTGCTAATGTGTCACCTTCTGTGCAACAGCACTATCCCTTTTCTTTCCCTTCTCTCCTTCCATGAGCCATGGAAGACCCTTCCTCAGCCTGGTACAGGGTCAAAAGGATGCTTTCAAAATTACATTGACCGTCTTTTGGAAGACTAGCTTTCTTTTCTTTTTTCTGTAACTTTGGGTTTTCTTTTTTCGGATTAAAGCAGTCTTATTTTTACCTGTTTCATAAGAACGCAGTAGTCAGAACTAATTCATTTACTTAGACTTTGAGAAATGTTCTTTAGGTGGCTAATGCAAGGATAGTTAGCTTCTCAATTTTATCTGTTAATAGCCATTCTGATGCCTGAACTAAGTGTGCAGTCACTAAGCATGTTTAATTGTCTCATAAATAAAAGGAGCTCCAACTGTACTCTTAGTGCTAATAAATCGATCTCTTTATCCATTCCAACAGCTGTATACATCAATAGGTTTTATTCTAATCACATCTTTACATTAATGAGACTGACAACAAATGCAATTAACTAAGATGCAATGAACTGCTGTTTTTTATTCCCTGTATAAACTCTGTACATTCAGAATAGCTGGCAAAACACTTGAATTGCCTATAAGACAACATAATTAGACTAACACAAGTTTCTGATGAATTTCTGGTATTAATGATTCTGGACTACTTAACTGAATTTAAGTTTTTGTACATGTTTGTGATTTTCCTACCTCTAATTCTGCATACTAGTTTTCCCAAGCATAGAACTAGGTAAGGGCCATCTGAAGAGCTATGTCACTTTCTGGTAAACAAATATTTTTTGTATATGTTTGTGATTTTCCTACCTCTAATTCTGCATACTAGTTTTCCCAAGCATAGAACTTAGGTAAGGGCCATCTGAAGAGCTATGTCACTTTCTGGTAAACAAATATTTAAACAAGAAAAGAAAAACTGGTTGAGACGGGCTCTAGGAGCACAGGAATTAAGAATAATGTCCAATTCTTACTTTGCTAACTATTTTTTCTTTCAGTATCTTCCTCTCTTGTTATATTTTTAAAAAAAGAAAAGAAAAACTGGTTGAGATGGCCTCTAGGAGCACAGGAATTAAGAATAATGTCCAATTCTTACTTTGCTAACTATTTTTTCTTTCAGTATCTTCCTCTCCTCTTAATTTTCTACCTCGATGGGAAGAGTACTATTTTAATAGGGGCGATTTTGAGAGGAAATAAAGTCAGCAAAAAAAGGATTAAAGCAGTCTTATTTTTCCTATATGTTTGAGTGCAGTCTCAAGCAAATGTTTTTCTCCCCATTCCAAAGCACACAGACACACACAGAGAGATACTTCTCTCCAAAATGGCAGTTTCGTCTGCCATTTTTACTTCTGGGGTAAAATGCTTTTACTTAAACATAATTTTAAACATAATGTAAGTAATTTTTTTAATATTTGAAAAATGTACTTGGTTTTGCTTTTAATATTCTGTTTTTAATGACGTAAGCCTCCTTGGGTCCTTTTTTAGGAGAAAGATAGGGTAAAATATTTTAAATACATAAATAAGCGAATAAATAAATATTTTCTACTCATCTGAACCTCTAATCAAATTCTTCGATTAAGACTACTCATCCGAACCTCTAATCAAATTCTTCGATTAAGACCAGTTGATTGTCCACTAAAGCTCTATCTAGAAGCACCCCAAGGTTTGCTACCAATTCAGAGGATCATAACAATCTGTGTAGTATGTGAATAGTATGACAACAAATATATTGGGAGAGGATGGAAGGGAGACTTATGGTAATACATAGAAACTAAATTTACTTTTTCCACCTGTTCCTTCAGAGTTCTCCTTTTTTGATCCAAATGATGCAGCATGCCAGGAAATTCTTTTCAACCCAAAAACATCTGTCTCGGAACTATTTGCAATTTTAAGACAGTGGGTCCCCCAAGTCCAGCAGAACATTGATATAATTGGGAATGAGGTGAGCAGTGCTTTGAAATTTCTTAAGTGTAAAGATAATTCACAGTATTTGTATGTTTGTGTGTGTGTTTGTGTGTGTGTGTGTGTGTGTGTATGTAACTGCCACTTCTACCAATATCATTTTTATATGAGATCTAATGTTACAGAAAGTGTCTGTGTATCTAGTTCCATAAGGAACAGAAATAGAACTCTGAATAAAATGTAAGTTTAAATTATTGGAATTCTAGCAAGAGCTGATAAGTTGTACAAAATGTTTGCTCCAGGGGATGGAGTGATATGGGGCTGCATACCTTTCCCCATATCTTGCATGCCATATCTAAATTTATTTATTTTTTAAGGCCACTGATAGAAGGCGTCAGATACTGCATTAATGGAGTGCATTGTGATAATGACATTTATCTCAGCCATTGTGAAAGACTTGAAATTGTTATGTTATTATAGGAAAATAACATGTAAATAATACTTTTTACATGTCTAAAATTAAAATATTTTACATAATTTTATTGGAGTCATATACAGTCTTGTTCTGTTGTTTCTGCAGATCCTTAAGAGGGGCTGCAATGTGAATGACAGAGATGGCTTAACTGACATGACGCTCTTACATTACACATGCAAATCAGGGGCCCATGGTATTGGTAAGTAAAGAACTGAGAGATACAGTATGCAGTGACAATTGTCCTTATTGGTGGGAGATGTGACTGGTCTTCATCTCTTCTCAGGATTGCCTTGCCCCTCTTTAGATTTGAAGTTGAAATAGGATGTGTCTGTGCTGCTCTTTGTGCAGGAAAAAAAAAGGCTACCATGGCTGCTTCATATGACAGGACTGTGAGAATACTGTTTATTATTGATAACACTTATAAGCAACTTTCTCCCCACAAAATGATTGTGAAAGTAACACACACAAAAAGAATCTGTCAATGACAGCTAGGCAATACTAGTTTTGAGTAACAGAAAATAAAAAGAATTGGGAAGAAGTCCAAAGCGAGAACTTAAATATGAGCAAGACTATGTGGATGGCACAGTAATGTTTGAAGACTCACCAAAAAGGGTTGTTTTCTCCAATTGATTAAGTGTTATGAAAGAGCATGTCTGCCTCCTCTCTCTTATAACTAAAAGATCATCTCTGGATATCTGACTATCAAGACAGTCTCAGTCTTCATTAAAACTGGAGTTGAGGGCTTGTTACTGCCCAGAGTAGACACGCTCTAGATGAGCGGTATATAAATCTAATAAATAAATAAATAAATAACTCAATTGCTCAATCAATCAATCATTATTTCATGGTAATCATGTATTACAGAAATGGGTTGTGTTTTAGTGGTCTCCTGCCCTGTAAGTCTTCTAAAGGGAGTCTGTGCTAAAATGAAACATTTCAGCTTTCTGTGGCTCAATCCATTCCGTGGTCTCCATATTCCTTCAGCAAAAGTAACTTTCCATGATGTTGTTATTACATGCTGTCCAGTCGCCTCTGATTTAAGCATAATTTCCAGAATGTCCTATCTTCAACAACCCTGCTCAGCTCTTGCAAACTCAAGCCTGTGGCTTCTTTTCCTTCTTTCCATAGCAACTATTGAAATATTCAGATATGAATACAATGCAAATGGTATTAATTAACAGGAATATGTTATTTTATCATGGTAGACATAAAGTATGTCAAAACATTGCACAAATAAGATCTTAATAAATTTATTTGACACTTGAAAATGAATGCTCTTAATTCTATTGTTGCAGGCTGCTATATATTGAAGTACCCTGCTCTGAGAATTATTGATATAGGTCAGCTTAGAAATACTGTAATAAATGAAATATACTTACATAAGCTTCAACATGTTGCGTTATTTGTTAAAGGAAATGATTTTAAGTTCTATTGTTTCCAATCAAGTCAAGGAACATCTCTTTTTTGGCTGAGAAGTATTAGTCAGATGTGCTTTTTAAAAACTGCACCACTGACAACATAATCCACTGTTTTATGGGTTGGTTGTTGGCCGTTTGCCATTGTGAGCTAAAACAGGTAACTGTTGCAAAAATGGCAGTGTTACTAATAATGGCTGCTGTTTCAGACTAACTGTAAGGGAAGGAACGGTGTTGTGAGTAGGGATGGAAAAGAAATTCGTTGGAGTCTCATTTCTGAATATTAATATCTATTTTGAACTTCCTGGGACTTGGAAGTAGAATAGAACACAGCATGCCTCAGAAATCTATTATTTTGCATGGCTTGAAGTTGCATTTTAGAGAAAATACACTCTGGATCATATTTGCATGTGAAAATGGCACACAGGTACACTTGGATTGTTGGGTAAAATGTGTACATGAGTGTTTGTTAGAAATAGGTGTATAATTCTTGTGTAAGAAGAAGAAAGAAGTCTTGCAATCCAGTTTGGGACTGAGGAACAATGAATGAGATAACTGATGGTATCAGATTGGAACAGAAACAGATTGAAAAGGTGGCTGATCTTAGTCTGTGCTATACCATTCCTCATGCAAAAAAGAGCAAAGCAGACCCCTTTTCACTTTCTCTGTGTTAAAACAGAGGGGAAAACCAAGGCTTAATTTAACTTAAACCAATACATACTGGTTATAGGTTATAAAGGCCTGAAGTGAAAGGACTTTAATCCTATGCTAGGTATCATTAAAAATGGGGTTGAAAATAAAACATCCAACATTATAATGCCATTGTACAAAATACTGGTAAGACCACACCTGGAGTATTGCACACCTCAAAGAAGACATCGTGGAACTGCAAAAGTTGCAGAAGAGAGTGACTAAAATGATGATGGGTCTGGGGCATCTCCCTTATGAGGAAAGGCTACAGCATTTGGGGCTCTTTAGTTTAGAGAAAAGGTGCCTAAAGGGGGACATGATTGAAATGTATAAAATTATGCAGGGGGTGGATAAAGTGGATAGAGGGAAGCTCTTTTCCCTCTCATGCAATACCAGAGCCAGGGGACATCCACTCTAATTGAGTGTTCAAGAGTGAGAACAGACAAAAGAAAATATTTCTTTACCCATCATGTTGTTAGTCTCTGGAACTCCTTGCCACAGGGTGTGGTGATGGCATCTGGCCTAGATGCCTTTAAAAGGGGATTGGATGGATTTCTGGAGGAAAAGTCCATTGCAGGTTACAAATCATGTTGGGGATATATAATCTCCAGGCTTAAAAGGAAGGTGCCTAAACATGCCAGATGCAAGGGAGGGGGTATCAAGAGACAGGTATCTAGTTGCCTTGTGTGCTCCCAGAGGCATCCGGTGGGGCCACTGTGAGACACGGGAAGCAGGACTAGATGGGCCCTTGACCTGATCCATCATGGCTCTTCTCATGTTCTTATGACTGCTTTGTTGATAATTATAACAAAAATTATACATTGATATTTTTGGTGCTAGTACTTGTAACAAGTAAACTGACTAAATAGCTAAGAGACCTGGAATGCCTAGGTGGTGCTAGGAGTTTGATTCTCCACTGTACTGCCTGAGTGAAGAGCCAGCCTGTGTGGCATTGGGCAAACTTCACAGTCCTTCACACTCTTAGAAGTTAGGTACGGTAAGCTGCCACTTCTAAGTATTTTATACCTAAAAAAACTTTGAGAGGGTTTACTGTAAATTGGAGTTGGCTTCCTGGCAGGAGATTATAACTGCATATGGAAAGTACTGTAAAGCTTATTTTCATCAGTGTTTCTTTATATTTACAACTAGTAAATGTCTAGCTAGTTCTTGGAACTATATTTTAAAGAAACATCTAGCTGAGAATGCCTGGGCTTCATAATTGTTACTTTAACTTTGACAACATTCTTTGCACATAGTGCTTATTTGGCATGTTGCAATAGTGGATTAAATACTGCTAAACCATATATAAATGCTTTTTGAAAATATCTGTTTTGCAGGGGATGTAGAAACTGCTACCAAATTTGCCTCCCAACTAATTGATTTGGGCGCAGATATCAATTTGAGGAGTCGCTGGACAAATATGAATGCTTTGCACTATGCCGCATACTTTGATGTTCCAGAGCTCATTAGTGTCATTTTGAAAAACGCTAAGCCAAAAGGTAAATATGACCAGGTATAATAGCCTTGGATGTCTTACACCTCATCCATGTCTATTTCCTAATATTTCTAAGTACTGCTCCTTATGTTACTTTTTTTCTTGTTCACGTATGAAAGTAATAAAAAGGGGACAAAGATGCATGTATAATGGCTCTTAGCTGTGTCTTGATATGACTGTGATGCACATTTTCCCCATAGTTGGTTTCTGTGGGGCAGAAGGGCATGCAGGGTGATGACAAATGCAGTACTTCAAGGTTTTTCAACTTTCCACTTTCCATATAGTGAGATGGATATTTATCATCCATGTGTTCATTTGAACATGCTTCTAGTTTCTAGCTGTATACATTTTTTTCTATTCAGAAAATCTTAGAGTCTCAACTCCGTTGCTGAGAATATCCCTATTCACACATTTGTGAAGTATGTGTATTATACATATGAGAAGGAGAACGGGTTAGCTTTGATCTTCCCTATAGTTTCTGTTTTCAGGCAAAAGCAATTTGTCTGTACAGAAGAGCCTCTCTGTTGATGGAGACTCCCCCACAACCTACAGCATGAAAAAAAATTCAGGTTCTGGCTCGTGTTCTATCCATGGATAGAACAGTCACTTTTCTTTAGACATGCTGCTTTTGTCTGAAGAGAACAATCTAAGTGCATGAGTGGAGTCTGCTTGCCTCCTTTTGTGTAGATTGTTGTTGTTGTTGTTGTTTAGTTGTTAAGTCATGTCTGACTCTTCATGACCCCATGGCCCAGAGCACGCCAAGCCCCCCTGTCTTCTACTGCCTCCCAGAGTTTGGTCAAATGCATGTTGGTCGCTTCAGTGACACTCTCCAATCATCTTGTCCTCTGTCGTCCCCTTCTCCTCTTGCCTTCACTCTTTCCCAACATCAGGATCTTTTCCTGGGAGTCTTCTCATCAGATGGCCAAAGTATTGGAGCCTCAGCTTCAGGATCTGTCCTTCCAGTGAGCACTCCAGTGATAGCAGGATTTATATAATTTTTCCTGCACTTACATTTGACTTAACCATGCTGTGAATCAGTATACATGGAAGGAGCCCCTCTTGTCTCTGTATTCAGTTTGCTGAATTTAAGCAGACTTTTATCTCCAGTCATTGATGAGAGATATTGATAAAATAAATTTCAGAACTGGATAAGGAGCCCCTGCAAATCCATCACATCTGTGGAGCTAAAGAGTTCTTATTCTTACTGTGTGGACATTCCTAGGCTTCCCCTCTCCCATTCCCCCAGTAGATGATCAGGACCTCTTTTCTCCTCCAGAAACTGGTGAATTGAGCTGTAAATGGCAGACAGCAAGCATGTGTCATTTGGTGGCAGCCACATAGTTCAGGAGTGCTCCCCACAAGTCTACTGGTTATTTGTCCCAGATTCATCTTGTTTGCTGTTTAGTAAGACATATCTGAGTGCAGGAACCTCTCTTTGCATGCAGGGAGCAGTAGCTTGGTGTTTAGGAAAGTAAACAAACAAGTAGCTCATGCTCAGATCAGCATACATTATACTGTTATATGTAATTCCCAGCCATTATTATCTTCAATGACATGTTCTGTTCTCTGTGCTGTGAGGCAGTTTTGCTACTGCTTGTTGGGTATACACTCCCTTTGCATGTTTGCTTCAAGACAAGGAAAGATTAATGTAAACACTGAAATAGCTTAGATACTTTCAGAAGACTGAAACTCTTAGCTGTGGAAATAGAGATCTGGAAGAAGTTGCAAAACATTTTTTTGGTTTTATTAATTACATTCATTTTGGAACTAGCTGAGGAGTTTCTGAGAGTTTTTATCTATAGACATCTGCAGACAGAATGCAGTGAAGTTTATGGAGCAAAATGTTAATTAATCCAATAGAGTGTCATCATCAATCATCGTCATCAATTTAGAACTACAAAGCTGGATACTCAAGCCCAACCCCTGTCAAGGAAACACAGTGGGGAATCAAACTCCCAACCTCTGGTTCTGAAGCCATATACCTAAACCACTGAGCTATTGATTAGAACTCACAAAAACAGAGTTTGCAGGTAGCCTGTGATTAGAGGAGGCAGTTTCTTAATTGCTGAAAACTGCACTCTGAATGCACAGCAGGAGTTTTTCTCACCTCACTTAATTTGCAAATTAAGTTGCTCTGTTTTGCGATCTTTCGGATTTAAATACCCAGTTGCTTTGAAGTCTGATTTTCTGTCTCAGTTATGGTTCCTCCCACACTAGCATGCTTTCATCTCTAATCATGTCTTATCATTGTAACTGTTTCTGCCATTTCACTGATTATTGCCTTGAAAGTTAGGGTCCTTGCAAATTGGGGTATAAATGTCAGAGACAGTGAACCATCATGCCTGACAAAGCTTCATGAACTTCATGGATGTTCAGATGCCCTGAATTTTTAAGGTGTTGCTTTTAGAATGTTGGAAAAAATTCAGATATATATTGAGTCCACATATCTGACCACTACAAGAAGCAGTGGAGGCTCAGAGGCCCCAAATCCTTAAAACTAAAATTAAAGAAATATTAGTAGAGAAAGGGTTAAATACATTAAGAGCTTGGATGAAAAAGATGAAAGATAAAAATACTATAAAGGAAATCTTGGGAGAGGAAGAGGGGATATCTTGGTTAACTCTACTCCAAATGGAAAGTTGGACAAGGGAGTGGACCAGTAAAGCAGGAGAATTAGAAAATTTACTAAATTTGAGGAGACCATATAGAGCAAAGACAAGTTCAAGAAGGAAATGAAAGAAAGGGCACAGTAAGTGTGATTTATAAGATTCTAATAAATGCTGGCTGCAAAAAAAGCTATGATGAAAAACCAATTGCAAGAGGATTTGGAGGAAGAGGTTAAAAGTGAGGTTTGGAACAAAATATGGTCACGAAGAATAATGAAGAATATGTCTATAAGGGTAAAAGAAAATTGTTATAAGGTTACATTAAGATGGTACCTTGCCCCAGTAAGATTGAATATTATAAGTAAAAATGTACCATCTCAGTGCTGGAGATGTAAAAAGGAAAAAGGAAGTTATTTACATATGTAGTGGAGTTGTGAAATGAGAAAGAAAGAATGGGCATTGGTTTTCAAAGAAATCAGAGAAATTATTGGATATAATATTCAAATATCACCAACTATTGCCCTTTTAAATATAATCAAGGATGACCATCTTAAAAAAGAACAGAAAGAATTAATAGTTATAATGGCCACAGCAGAAAGGCTAATATTTACAACAACCTGGAAAAATGACAAATTAATCTTGAAGATTGGTATAAAGAAATGTGGAGCTTAGCGATAAATGATAAGCTAACATGTGAAATAAAAGTAAGAAGGGGAGTGACAAAATACGATGATTTTAAAGAGATATGGAATCTATATTTGAATTATGTTTTTGTAAAAGGGAAAGGCAGCAGAACAATCAATGTATTTTTGGAGCAGAATGTGGTGAAAAGAGATTAAGAATATATTTGGTTATCTGGTCTCAAGGGTGATGGTGGCACAGGGATAAAATTGTTGTACAGTATATATGTACACACTTTTTATGCAAGTATTGTCATTATTGTTTTTCCTTAATTAATTAAAAAAATAATAAAAGATTTCCAAAACGTAAGAAAGGCAGGATATAAATTTATTACTACTAATGATGGGAATATCTTTGGCCCATTGTGCTAAGTCTCGCGTTTATGTTTGCCATTCGTATTTGGCTTAAGGATAAGAACAACATACGGTACCAATCTAGCATGTTTCACAACTGGTGCTTGGTGCTTGGTCATCCAGTCTCACTTATGCCTGATGCTTCATTGTAGATGTGGATGCCACTTGCAGTGATTTTGATTTTGGAACAGCCTTGCACATTGCTGCCTTCAATTTATGCACAGGAACTGTGAAGCGTTTATTGGAACATGGAGCCAATCCTGCCTTTCGGGTGAGATTTTGATGTGGCTTTTTTCAGTTTTTCTAGCTACATTTGACATCTTTCTTAAAGTGTTTATCAAAAAGTGTTCCAAAACATTGCAGTTTAGACAAATGATGGCTGACATGCTTTAGGAAACGTTTCTGTGTACATGTCTCTATGTATATATATACATATGTGTACATGTACATATACAGTAATAATGCTGTGCCAACAAGTCAATTCTGACTCATGGCTGCCCTTTCAAGGGTGTTTTAGATAGAGTTCTCAAAAGCAGTTTGCCATTTCCCTTCTTCTAGGGTCACTTGGGACTGACTGTACAGCTTGCCCAAGGCCACACAGGCTGGCTATTCTCCCAGGAAGCACGAGGGGGAATTGAACTCCCTCTGGCTCTGCAGAGGTTAGGAGTTCAACTTACTGAGCTTATCCAGCTGGCACATGTACGTGTATGTATGTATATGTGCACGCACCTAATGTACATATTTATACATGTATGTTAGAAGTGTGTGTGTGTGCATGCATATGTGTGTGTATGTTACTGGCCTTTAGGCACAACTGAAACACAGCAGCGCACATTTAATTACCACTGATTTTTCAGGACCCACGTCACCAGTTACCTCCAGGTAGTATATTTTTAGTTATCTATGTTTTAGCCATTGAGGTAGAAAACTATTTAATCATAACTATTGGTTACTTAATAAAATGAGCTATAGTTACATCTTGAACTGCTTTAATACAGCATATGAATTTATGCTTTTTCTGATTTGGCTGATGTTTATGTTGTTTTTTAGAATGACAAAGGGCAGACACCAGCAGATGTGGTTCCTGACCCAGTAGACATGCCTTTGGAGATGGCAGATGCTGCAGCAAGTGCTAAAGAGATCAAGCAGATGCTTTTAGATGCAGTGCCTCTATCCTGTGACATTTCCAAGGCTATGCTTCCAAATTATGATAATATCACTGGGATAGACATTCTGGAATCCCTTGGTCTAAAGCTAGGAGATCGAGTTGTTATTGCAGGACAGAAGGTATTTGGAATAAACATACTGTTCGTAATGGATATGGACTAGATGGGGGCAGTCATGATTGATGTGTAGAGTTGTTGTGCTGAGATGGGCTCCCTTGCTCTTTATGTGATGGTTTGCCTCATTAGACCAAGGGTTAACAAGAATCCTTGTGATGCAATGGTTAAACTGCAGTACTGTAGCCAAAACTCTGCTCACAACCTGCCTTCAATCTCAGGTAGGCGGTTCGAGGTTCACTCAGCCTTCCCTCCTTCCAAGGTCAGTAAATTGAGTACCCAGCCTGCTGGGTGGGGGAGAGAAATGTATGGCCTACATAATTAAATTGTAAACCACCCAGAGAGTGCTTTAAGCATTATGGGACAGTATAGAAGCAGCACAATTTGCTTTGCCTTGCTTTTCGCAAATGGTACTGTAGATTTTAATCTACTGAGATACCTTTGGGTCATTCATACTAGGTTACTGAGATTTTAATCTACTGAGAGACCTTTGGGTCATTCATACTAGGTTACTGAGGGTTCCTTATTTCTCATTCTTCAGCAATAGCTGCAACATTTCTGTGTGGAAAAATATGAGGCCCGTTCAGTTTTGAAATTCAAGCAAAGTTTGTGGGTTCGGGTTTCATTAATTCACGATATCTGTCTTTGCCAAGCTATTTGGTAGGTCCTGATGTTCTAGGAACAAACTTAGTTGGTCCACAAGCCTGAAATGTGCCTGACTGCTCAGTCCTGAAGTCTGGTTTGAGCTGCTAATGCAAATCTTAAGTCTTGCTGTGCAATTAATTGATGTAAGCCAACCAGAGACCTTTGGGTAGTGTGTGCGGCATATAAGATAGATAGATAGATAGATAGATAGATAGATAGATAGATAGATAGATAGATAGATAGATAGATAGATAGATAGATAGATAGATAGATAG